TTTGAAACGCCAATAAAATCTACTCCTGAACGCAAGTTTGGTGCGTTCAAAAAAACAACTTTAAACTCAACTGCATGTAAATGACGACCTGTACATGGACACATAGGAAAACATTAGGGTGAGTTCAGGGGCTGCTGAAAAAAAACGCAGATAAGCTCCTAAATGAGAGTTTATCAGCTGCCGTGTACATGGAGCCCAAAGCATTTTCTATGTATTCAAATGGACCCGGTACACCAGCGCAGTCAGTTCCAAGTTTCGCATGAAGGAAACAATGGTGGAACGTGCCGCATTATGCTCATGATGGGATCCATAGTGAATACAACCAGAAAAGACCGGTCATCTCAACACATACTGCTCTCTCTGCTTCTGCTCTCTCTATTTCTCTAAAAATGTCTGAAATAGTTAATTATTTACTGTTTATCAGTGCATTCTGGGTATTTGGGAAGGTCTCCTGAGGTTATCTTTTAAAAACGCTTCTAAATGCAAACGCGGCTAAACTGATGTTTTTTAACCTCAGTTTTCCAGCAGTCAGTTTCCATCGTTCAGAAGAGTTTTCCAAACGCCCCGTGTACATGGAGCCTAACCGAACAGTAACGCCCTTATTCCCTTAACCTCCCTGGCGGTATTCCCGAGTGTAGCTCGGGGTAAAGTTTCAGTATCACAAGCGGTAACCCCGACGTTGCTCTTCTGCACTTACCTTGTCCTGCCTCTCCCGCGATGTCCCTCCTGCAGTGTCACCGGCAATGTCCTCCAGCCGATGCCGGCATCTGTCTTCCGGGTTCCGTTCCCTGCGACGTCGGGACGTATGGGGGACGAAACGGCGGGAAATTTAAAAATGTCAAAAAGTGACATTCACTCAATACACTAAAATCACATAGTATAACATTTACTGTATCAAACCATTTCACATACATTTTGTCCCGAGTGCTTTGTCCTGTGCCCTGCCTGCATTTTTACTGTTCTTTCTGCCTTCCATGGCGTCCAAAAAGCGTCCCTTTAGGTCAAAAGCTGTTTTAGACCGGCTAGAGAACAGCGATAGTAAATTAGAACCACTCACAGAATTGAGTGATAATGATTCGTGGGGGAAATTCCTCATTAGACACTGAAAACGATTCAGCGACTTTGCTCAGCGATGTGCGAATTTGGCGCTATATTTCAAATTTCAGTGTTTTTGGTTTGATTATATTATTGAATTAAATTTATTAACATATTATTATTTTTCATGATTATTTATTAAATTCTAATTTATGATTTCGTGTTTTAAATTTTATCATACCCGGGATGTTTACTAGACTCTTGTTCGGACAGATTTCAGTGAGTTATTCCTAAAAATTACAGCCTACAATAAAAAAACTACATATTTCCATGCAAAAAAATGTACCGCTTTGAGCACAGAAATACTGACATAATCAGACCGCTAGGAAGGTTAACGATACACAGCAATGACACCTGACACCCCCTCCCCAGGATATGGTACATCCCATCCCCATCTATCCTGACAAGGAACATCAGACATTCAATAACAGAACGGGGGAGCACACTGGTGGTAACTCCCAATTCTCATCTCTATACCCAGCAATAACACCTAGCACCCCTCTCCCTGTGACATGGTACGCTCTGTTCCCATCTCTTAAGTGTCACTAAAGGCAAAACTTTTTTTTTTTTTGGATTGAGTAGGGGAGGGTTATAACCCCTGTTGTGTCCCCCATTGCGGAGATTTCCCTTCACTTCCTGCCCCATGGTCAAAACAGGAAGTGAGAGGAAATCCCTCCAAAGCGAGGAATTCCCACGGTGTCCCCAAAACTGGTGTGAAGCTCCCTAAACGGGTCACAGACAGCAAGAAAAACCTGCCAGAGGTACTAATCCCTCTGCTATCTATACATACAGGAAGCCCGGGGATAAGGATGAACCCACTGAAGAATGAAGATGAAAAGACTCCCCACATTGTTGTATAATACCTTTTATCCCCTCCCTCCTATCACAGACAGGCCCGCCCTCTACTCACGTGGTATAGACACTTTTTACCCATCAAGTGGCAGGAGTTTTGTCTAATCAGCATCCAGAGAATTTCACCCGGAAGCGGATGTTGCTATGGGGACCAGGCTGGACCCGGGAGTACTGGCAAAATAATCGACCAATAGAGGCTGGGCTAGGTGAGTGGGAGGGGTTCCGGCGGTTGGCGGGGAGAATGATCTGAAGTGACTGGAGGTTGTGTGGGCCGAATTTCATCCGTATCCGGGCCGGGAGAGGTCAGTAATCGCCCAGAGACCCTCTAAGTTCCCGGGGAGATTGTTCTGCACGGATCTCGGTGCCCGCTGCGTCTTATCCCCGTTTCAGGGCGCTACTGTCTGTCGTGGGGTGTACCATATGACAAGGATAGGGGTGAGGGTGACCGCGTGCCCCCCCCCCCCCCGTTCTGTTATGGAATGTCCGAATTTCCAAGTAATGAGAGATGAGGACGGGATGTACCATGTCTCGGGCTTAGGGGTGCTAGGTGTCATCACTGTGTGTGGTGGTGAGAAAAGAGGGTTACCAGTGTGTCCTCTATTCTGTTATTGAATGTCCGGGGCTCCCAGTGATGAGAGATGGGGACGGAGTGTACCATGTCTTAGGGGTAGGGGTGCTAGAAGTTGCTGTGTGCAGTGACAACAATAGTGTCACTGTTTTGTTATGTTATGGAATGTATGTGGCTCCCAGTGATGAGATATGAGGATGGGGCGCACCATGACTCAGGGTGGGGGTGTCAAGTATTGCTATATGTGCAATGGACATGCTGTAGGAGACTGGGGACGTGGCGCGGACGACGGTAGGAGACTGGGGACGTGGCGCGGACGACGGTAGGAGACTGGGGACGTGGCGCGGACGACGGTAGGAGACTGGGGACGTGGGGACGACGGTGGCGCGGGACGACGGTAGGAGACTGGGGACGTGGCGCGGACGACGGTAGGAGACTGGGGACGTGGCGCGGACGACGGTAGGAGACTGGGGACGTGGCGCGGACGACGGTAGGAGACTGGGGACGTGGCGCGGACGACGGTAGGAGACTGGGGACGTGGCGCGGACGACGGTAGGAGACTGGGGACGTGGCGCGGACGACGGTAGGAGACTGGGGACTGGGCGCGGACGACGGTAGGAGACTGGGGACGTGGCGCGGACGACGGTAGGAGACTGGGGACGTGGCGCGGACGACGGTAGGAGACTGGGGACGTGGCGCGGACGACGGTAGGAGACTGGGGACGTGGCGCGGACGACGGTAGGAGACTGGGGACGTGGCGCGGACGACAGTTGAAATACGAAAAATAGAGGAGTTACCACTCAGGTGAACAATCCACATCAAACCAAGACGTGCAGACTTTGACTCGCCACCACATGTAATGGAATGAGGAAGAAGGGTTAGCCGCACACCGGCGGATTGATGAAATGTAACAGATAATTTATTGATCCATCGGATGCAAAGAGCACCAGGACATATACAAAGCTGTTAACGCATTTCACACGATCACATGCTTATTCATAACCATAAGACGGTAGGAGACTGGGGACATGCTGTAGAAGACGGTAGGAGACTGGGCACATGCTGTAGTGGGCACGTGCTGCAGGAGACAGTTGGAGACTGGGCAGGTGCTGCAGACTGGACATGCTGTAGAAGATTGTAGGAGACTGCGGACATGCTGAAGAAGACAGTGGTAGACGGGGACATCTGCAGAACACAGTAGTCTACTGGACGTTCTGTAGAAGACTGGGGTCCTGCTGGGAACATGCAGAAGAAGACTGGGGACATGCTAAAAAAAAAAAAAAAAGACAGTGGAGACATGCTGTAGGAGTTAGGAGACCTGCAGGAGACTGCAGGTGGGACCTGACGGTCGGAGACTGGATGGGTCCTGCTGTGGGTCGAGACTGGGGACCTGCTGTGGAAGACGGTCGGAGACTGGGGACCTGCTGTGGAAGACGGTCGGAGACTGGGGTCCTGCTGTGGAGACGGTCGGAGACTGGGGTCCTGCTGTGGAAGACGGTCGGAGACTGGGGTCCTGCTGTGGGAGACGGTCGGAGACTGGGGTCCTGCTGTGGGAGACGGTCGGAGACTGGGGTCCTGCTGTGGGAGACGGTCGGAGACTGGGGTCCTGCTGTGGGAGACGGTCGGAGACTGGGGTCCTGCTGTGGGAGACGGTCGGAGACTGGGGACCTGCTGTGGGAGACGGTCGGAGACTGGGGACCTGCTGTGGGAGACGGTCGGAGACTGGGGACCTGCTGTGGGAGACGGTCGGAGACTGGGGACCTGCTGTGGGAGACGGTCGGAGACTGGGGACCTGCTGTGGGAGACGGTGTGGGAGACGGTCGGACTGGGGACCTGCTGTGGGAGACGGTCGGAGACTGGGGACACGTTACATAAGGCTAGCAGAGGTCACTTCTGAGAAGCATGCCAACGTCAGTTGCCATCTGGGGAGGCCTTTTTTCTTTTCTTTTTTTTTCCACAGGATCTTGGGAGTTGGAAAGAAAGCTCTCTGGCTCTGAGGTTGCTCCGCAAGGCTTCCCCCATTGGGTACCTGAATGTAACTCTGTCCATAAGGGTGTAAGAAGGAACCCCAGACCAAAACGCAGAAGAATCTGAGATATTCTATTTGTTCATAGATTGATCATGTAAAATATCCCAATGCGTTTCAGGGGCCAAAACACCCCTGTCCCTTGTTTTCTAGCCTGTTGAAGGGGCAGTCCTTTGGCCTCTGAAACGCATTGAATGTTTTATATCTTCAATTTATGAACAAACCTAGAATTTTGGACATTTCCACCCTTTTGGTCTGAGGCTCCATCTTGTATTCTGATGGTTTGAAAGGACCTTGGAGCTCTGACATTTGGTCACCGTACACCAGCATTTCCGAGATCCTTTGGAACAGATCACATGACCATTGCCTTGGGTTGCTGTAGTTTGGTTATAATAATCTTGCATTGGTACGTAGATTCTTTTTGCTTTATTTGGATGTTCTCGCGTTCCAGGCCCGAGGATGGCACATGAGGAAATGGACGTCGACCTGTTTGGTGAAGACGCTCCAGCAGAAGACTTGCCATCCAGACAGCTGCCCGGAGGAGACTCGTTATTCATTTTGCCACCTCCAACCATGTTTGCGGAGCTCATGAGGGAGCGAATCTCTGCGCCAGAGCTGAACAATGAGGTGATTGTGCTGGATGGGGGCGAGATCCCAACGGCACACGAGCCGTCGCCTGTCGAGTCCCATACCTCTAATGCACTACAGATGTTGCAGGGGGCGCTAGAGCAACTGCGGCAGGCTGCTGAGCTGAACTCTTCATCACATCAAACCCGGAATCGGAGGAGGAACACCAGGAGGCAGCAGAGAGGGGGCTCCCAGCGCACGTCGGGTACCAGGTGAAAATCCGCTGAATGTTCTTGGTAATGCTCCACTCTGACTGGCAGTATGAGACTCTTCATGTTCTGTGTTTTCAGCTCACGGACTGGACTCATGAACTTCTTCCAACTGAGAGGAGGCCAGGGGCACACTGCGCCGGGGGAGGGGAGCAGGAGTATTAGCCAGGTCATCTTGGTGCCGCCTGATGAGTCTGAAGAAGACAGTTCTGATGATACAGTGTTGCTAGGGGATGAAGAAGGGGGCAGCTCCACCGAAGTGGAAGAGGAGGACGCCACATCTGCCCAACCCGCAGAGCCAGGTATGTCCGAGGATGATGTATGTTTATGTGATAAATCCTAGCAAGTGCAACTGTGATGGCTCCTGGGCTAATCACAATGGTTCCAGTTTATTCCATCTAGTTTGTTTTTTCTTACACAGGTTAGTTAGCATGCGTGTTAGAAGGGGGGGGGGGGGGACAGTTTTAGGACTAGTTAGGTGTAAGCTGGAATACCACTTTAATGATTAACTCATTTGTTAGTTCTGAGCACTATATAAAAATCAGGGCAGCAACAATTAAAGTTTAACCCTTTCAAACCTTGGCTATCAGAAGTATTTGGTTACATTGTTGCATGAGGGAGTTATTGTCAAAGTATCACAGCACTGAGAAATGGCCTGGACCTGAAGGAGTAGTAAAGGATACGTGCACCTTCAGGAACTTGTTACATGTTCCACCCGTTTTTAGAAGGGAACATGTAATATGTTCCCACTGCTGCAGCTCTCAGCCTCGATCCGTCGATCCTCATGTGACAGCAAGAACAGGATCTTCTTCCCGCACCTGCTGTCACAATTAAAAAGAAAAAAAAAACAAAAAAAGCGACCATATTGCGCTCTGCCCACCTGGCCTTGTAATTCATTCACAGAGTTCTGTGAATGGGAGGACTACAACTACCACCAGCCTTTGCAGCTGACGGCTTGTAGTTCTCAATGAGCTACCAGGAAACTGGTGAGCGCTTTACGTAGTTCATTGTTCTTTCCTGTCCTTGTGCAACTGCCTGCCCGTTCAAGGTATGAGCACACAGCTTACACTGACAGTCTGTAGGATCTCTGCATTGCACCTGTGATCAGCTCATCACGGGTGCAGTGCTCTGTAGGCTCTTAATAAAAAAAAAAAAAAAAAAAAAAATAAATGCATTTTTTTTTTTTACCCGCAGAAAGATGTGCTTTCTTTTTTTTTCTTTTTCTTTTTCTTTTCTTTTTTCTTTTCTTTTTTCTTTTCCTTTTTTCTTTTCCTTTTTTCTTTTCCTTTTTTTTTCTTTTCCTTTTTCTTTTCCTTTTTCTTTTCTTTTTCTTTTTCTTTTCCTTTTTTTCTTTTCCTTTTTTTCTTTTCCTTTTTTCTTTTCCTTTTTTCTTTTCCTTTTTCTTTTCCTTTTTTCTTTTCCTTTTTCTTTTCCTTTTTTCTTTTCCTTTTTTCTTTTTTCCTTTTTTTCTTTTCCTTTTTTTTTCTTTTCCTTTTTTTTCTTTTCCTTCTTTTTTTTTTTCCTTTTTTCTTTTCCTTTTTTCTTTTCCTTTTTTCTTTCTTTTCCTTTTTTTTTCCTTTTTTTTTCCTTTTTTTTTTCTTTTCCTTTTTTCTTTTCCTTTTTCTTTTCCTTTTTTCTTTTCCTTTTTTTCTTTTCCTTTTTTTTTCTTTTCCTTTTTTCTTTTCCTTTTTTCTTTTCCTTCTTAAAAAGTGAACTTATCCTTTTGAGGGTGGCCAAGCGAGGGTAGAAATGCAGTGTTTGTTCCAGCTTGGTGGCATTGCAGAGTATTGTATGTAAAGGACAGCCTGTTTCTGCTCTGGGCTCTCATTGGGGACATGGCGGGGGGTCTCATTAGGGATATGGCGTGGTCTCTTGAGGGATGTTGCTGCAGTGTCACTCACAGCCTCCAAGAAGGTCCAGGCTCATTCTGCTGTAGACACCTCCTGGGTTACTTTCCTTCGGTTGTCACATTGATCTTGTTATGTTTTTGATTTTTAGCTCCAGAGGAACTTCATATAAATCTGGTAGAGGCGGGTACAGAAGCCCCTGTGACCTCGGAGCCAGTGGCTGTTGTGGTGGAGGACTCTGCGTCATCGGAACCCCCAGCCAAAGTCAAGCAGGTGACTGAGATTCCATAGTGGAACAGAGATCTCTGAGAGGAGCTGTACAGGTCCCACTTACAATAGTCGTACTTCTTCAAGGTGGGAAGAAGGTGCATCTAAACATCAAGAGCCAATGAGTAGAACATTTCCAGGGACATTAAGGGCTCTTTTAGACTTGTGGTTGAGGGACAATTCAAGATGCACGGTTAGCACATGTTTTAGCACCCTCTTAAGCATAAGCTAGTCTTAAAGCAGAGCTTCCCCTTTTGAACAAGTTTCCCCTAATAAATTGCTGATACCTTCGCATTTACTGTTTGGATATTGACTTTTAATTTATAAATTAAAAAGTACCTTTTTTTATTTTAAAAATTGCCACCACTTCTGGTCCCATCCAGTGAGGCAATCTACATCATCAAGGAGGTCCTGTTGACTCCTTGGATATTTGTGTCATCAATCCTAGGAGTCAATGGGTGTCTTCCACTTCTGGAATCACATTATTTCCAAAGCAGAAATGATGCGATTACAGGCAGGTAATCTGCTAACAACAATGTGCGTCGTCTTCACTGCGCAGGCATGAGAACAGGCGGTGCATGCTGGGTGGCCATCTGCACTAGAACAAAGAAGTATATCGGTGTGGGCTTCACATGCCCCCACTAACAATGGCCGCCACCAGAAATTTATGGGGAGATTTTCTTCTTATTTAAGGCAAGTTGCACAAAGACATAGAACAGTTGCCAAAGTAGATGCAGGTTGTAAGGGGTCAGATTCTGTTTTTATCTCAAGTTATGATCAGAGACTGCCATGGTCACAATGCTTCAGGCTTGCAGCAAAAATGATCTGACATGACACGCTCAACATGCAGAAAGACAGCCAAGCGTTCAAGCAAACGAGGCGAATTCAAGCGAATGAGGAAGTGCCGCGTACGTCCTGCATTCCCTGCAGTTTTTTGGTAATTATGGGGTGGCATCATATCTCGCCACCTGTCAGACGGCTCTGAAAAACAATTCCAGTGTGGATCGCTTTTCAAAAGAGCTGCAGTTTAGATGCAAGTCTAAGCTTGGCCTAAAGCTGAACTCCGGGATAATACATTCATCATGTGTGTTGTTCTTGAATGTTGGTGTGCACAGGATTGTGCAATACATTGATCACTGCTACTTTTTTTTTTTTTTTTTTTTTTTTTTTTTTTTTTGCGCCCAGATTTCAGCTTCAAATTTAACCAGTATCAGTCTGGGACAATTCTGACACTCCTACATGTAAAATTCAGCTTTTTCTTTTTTTTTTTGCTAGAAAACTACTTAGAATCCCCAGACATTACAAATGTTTATTTAAGCAGAGGCTCTAGAGAATAAAATGTGTTGCATGTTTTTATGTCACACAATATTTGCGCAGCAGCTTTTCTGAAAATAAAAATACTTTATTGAAATTTTAATTACAAAAACACAAACTAATATCACCCTTCCCAATCAGCGACATACCGGTACCTTGCAAGGATGGGAAGTAGTTCAATCAGAGCTAAAGGAGTGATAATTGTAGGAAGAGAGGAGGATGGAGGGAATTACATTTGTTGCCAATAGCAGCAACATTTGTTAGCTGATAAAGGTGAGCTGCTATGAGGCTTCATTTTCCCTCTCATAAACAAAGGTTATAGTTTGATACATTTCAGGACCTATCAATGACAGTTCCTGACCTCCAATGTTTCTGTGATGTTTCTTCTGTAATTTTAGAGTTCTGTAATCAAACAGAAATTAATAGTTCTCTGTCTTCTGCAGCGGACACCTGTAAAGCCTGCAGGGGGCATTCCAGCAATGGAAGAGGAGGAGGGAGACACTTGCACCATTTGTTTTGAGCCATGGACCAATGCCGGCCAGCACCGCTTATCTGCACTGAGATGTGGACATCTTTTTGGCTTTACGTGCATCGACCGGTGGCTGAAGGGAGGAGCCAACAAGTGTCCGCAGGTAAATGCTCACCGTGTGGGGTCAGCTATTTTTTCTTTGGGTCTATTCTTACTGCTGGTAATGAAATGTCCCTGCTAGCTCTTCAGATTATCCTTCAACCACATTGTAATGTACAGAGTCAATTAGCCCTGACTGTACCTGGCCCGCCCCTTTCATTTATCAGCTTTCAGTTCTTTCAATCATGAAGGCTCAGCATCACCTGTGGGTGTTACCAAGGGCGATCAAATGCATGCAAGTAGACCCTGCTCAGGAATGCCCACTCCTCCAGGCTGACATCTACCCTACAAGGAATTTTGATATTTGTATAACTTCCCACCCCCACCCCACTGTTTGTATGAGGGCTTATGAGTACAGTGCAAGGTGCTGTGATGTTTTGGGGAAGCTCTGTACAGCCCCTTGTATTGCACAGAGACTCAATGATGACATTACTGGGTCTAAAATAAGGTATTTAATGAAAATGGAAAGGGTTTCATTAAAAAAAAATGTCATTACCATGTTGATGAGGGGGTTGGGAAGAATCGGTGAAGAGAAAATTGTAAGCAGACTAAATTTCAGCTTTAAACTGTGTGGATATAAGAAGACCTATTTATTAGTCTGAACGCTTGGCACCCACTTGCCACATATCTGAAATGCCCCACATACTTCTGGCAGTATGAACTGTTTTAGATTCTAAAAATGACAACCATGTAGAGACCATTCAGACCACTAAGTTGCATGTGTGACGGGCGTGGCGTCAGACCCCAGTCCTTCTCACCAACTTGTGACCGAAGGACTAGCCAATCTAAAACCGTGCTGCCACTTGCGTAACAAAGCCACTCTCAGCTGCACCTTACACAAAGATTTTCCAGCTCACTGGACCCCAATCTAGGTGCCAACAGCCTGAGAGCGATTGTTACTGGGTCAGGTTAATTACGCAATTAACCCTTCACTTTGCCAACACCACCTTTTTACAGAGAAGGAGGAACCTCACAAATCTTAGCAGTAACACTATGATATTTGAATAAGCGTCTGTAACACACTGTCACCGCAGACAGATGTATCCAGAGGTTTTAAAACACACAGTAGCACTCTTCAGAGACAGGGATTCTTAGTTTTGCATTAAAGAACTTTAGAAACAATTCAACACTTTTCAGAAAATAGGATTTACTACTAAAAAGGTCAAAATGGTGCAATAAAAATATTTACAGAAAAGATGTAATATATATAGAGAGAGAGAGAGAGCGCGCACGCAATAACACAACAGAGAGATAAAGGAAGAAGGTAGAATACTTGCAGAAGTCTTGGTTTAAGTAACGTTCAAGTGTCCGAACAAAAGGGTGCCTTTTCTCCCAAAGTTGGTTCCTGATGTTACAAGGGAGAATCTCTTCGTCTTTCTCTCCAGACATGACAGCCTGTGTGACGGTCGCGGCGTCAGACCCCAGTCCTTCTCACCAACTCGTGACCGAAGGACTTGCCAATCTAAAACCGCGCTGTCATGTGTGTAACAATACCACGCTCAGCTGCACCCTGCACAAAGATTTTCCAGCTAATGGACCACAATCTATGTACTGGAGCCTGAGAGCGATTGTTACTGGGTCAGGTTAATTACACAATTAACCCTTCACACTGCCACCACCGCCTTTTTGTAGAAAAAAAAAGGAGGAAACTCGCCAATATTCGCAATAACTATGATGTTTGAATATTCATCTCTATACCACTGTCACCGCATGCAGAGATATATAGAGGTTTTAAAAACACACAGTAGCGCTCATACTGCATACTGACACTTTTTAGGGGGGGCGGCGCGTTGCCGCCGCCGCCCCCCCCCCCCTTCCCCCAATGGAAGGGGACACTAAGTACAGGGGTGGGCAGCGGCTGTTTCTTACCTGGTTCCGGTCCCACGACGATCCGGTCCAGGAAGCGCGGCTGCGCCTTCAGTTCAGTCACTGGATGTTCGTGCGGCTGCTCGGCTCCGCCTCCTCACCAGTGATTGGCCGCCAGAACTGTAGCTGCACACAGGCGGCCAATCACCGGCGAGGGGGTGGAGCCAAGCGGCCCCGCGAAAATCGACTGCAGGACCAGCAGGTAAGTTTGTAGAGGTGCTGCTGCAACCACAAAAGCAGCACCATCAGAACAGGGTCAGCAAGTGTCAGTGGGAGGAATAGTGCCCCATCATTGGTGTCACTGATACCAATGAAGCACTATTCCTCCCACTGACACCAATGATGGGGCATAATCCTCCCACTGACACCAACGATGGGGCACTATTCCTCCCCCCCACTGACACCAATGATGTGGCACTATTCCTCCCCCCCACTGACACCAACGATGGGGCACTATTCCTCCCCCCCACTGACACCAATGATGGGGCACTATTCCTCCCCCCCACAGACACCAATGATGGGGCACTATTCCACCCCCCACACTGACACCAATGATGGGGCACTATTCCACCCCCCACTGACACCAATGATGGGGCACTATTCCACCGCCCACTGACACCAATGATGGGACACCATTCCTCCCACTGACACCAATGATGGGGCACTATTCCCCCCACATTACCAATGATGGGGCATATTCCCCCCACTGATACTAATGATGGGGCACTATTCTTAATGCCAATGATGGGGCACTATTCCTGCCACTGTACCAATGATGGGGCACTATTCCTGCCACTGATACCAATGATGGGGCACTATTCCTGCCACTGACACCGATGATTATTCCTGCCACTGGTGTGCATTGGAAGAGGGGTAGTCTTATACGAGTATAGCTCAAACACTAAATTTTAGCAGGAAAAGTAGGGGGGTTCGTCTTATACGCCCAGTCGTCTTATACGCCGGCAAATACGGTATATATATATATATATATATATATAATATATATATATATATATAGATAGCTACACACACAAAGAGATAACAGAACTTTAGAGAGGTAGATACTTACCGTCACGTTTAGTTTGAGCAGATCAAGTTTCAGAGCAAAGGATACTGTCTCCCAAGTTGGTTCCTGATGTTAAAAGGGGAGAATTCTTCAACTTAACTGCTCTCAAGCATAACAGCCTTTTTATAGGAACTCGGCAGGGTGTCTCCTTACAGCAGAGAACCAATCGCCTCATTTGGGGAGGGGTGTTGTAGGCGGGGGACTCAGACTAGAACCAAAATCCCTCCCAAGTTATAACCTTCCCTAGGTACATGTAACATTCTATGCACGGGTAGATTAATATGCAGAATCATCTGCTGAACGTCTAGATATCAAACATGGCATAGTTCACTATTTCAGCTAGAACTATATGGCTTCTGCCCTCCTGTAGACTTCAACTAGGGGGTGTAAGATATCAGATGACTCGCATTAAACTGAGCTATCCAAATATATGCTTGGTTTTTATGTAATTATTTCCCGTCTCCAGATATAAAATTATATGGAAAAGTGGGTTTTAAATGTGTGGTCTGTTTTACGGCTAGCTGGAATGTCTTTGAAGCCCAGTGAAGGACTGGTTTAGGTTTTACGATTCTCTCAGATTGAGAAGCTAACTGAGAACCGGGCACCAGCTAATTTGGGATTTATAACCATGAAGCTGTCCCGCTGGGCCTGATTGCCTGTGCACTTTTGAACCCAGCACACAGGGACCATGTGTCACTCAACAGAGAGGGAGGGGGGGGGATTGCAGGGGGAGAGATACAAATGCAGGATCCTTAGCAAGATGGATGACCGCGTCCATCTCTGTGTGCACAATTGCTACAGCCTGTTTTCTAGGAACCCAGCAGGGGGTGTCTACTGAAGCCAAGGGCCAATCGCCTCATTTGGGAAGGGGATTTAGGTGGCGACCCAGGTTAGGACCAAATCCCTCGCAAGTTTATACCATGGTCAATAACCTTCCATAGGTGCATGCAGCAGCCTAGCCACTGGTAGAATAATATGTAGAATGATATCCTGAACTTCTAGACATCAAATGTGACATATCTGCCTGTGATGGTTAAAGAGATATCGCTTTCTGCTCTCTGGTAGACGTTATCTAGGGGTGTAAGGTATCAGGTGACTCGTAATAAACTGACCTCTCTGAATATATGCTTTGTTTTATTGTACCTTGTTCCTGCTGGGATTTATGAAATTGTATGAAAAAGTGGTTTCAAGTGGGATGTATGTTTTACTGCCACCCTGGAATGCTTTCATGTCCAGTGACTGACTGGTTTATAGCTTTACGACCTGGCCATGGCAAGGGTCTGTCAGACATTATGGAACCAGCTAATTGGGTTTACAACCATGAAGCGTATCCAGCTGTGCCCGATGCCCTTGTGACCCCAGCATACACACACCACATGCCATTCAAACAGAAAGGGAGGGGGACTTATTTGGAGTGAGAATGACATTTGTAGAGTATGATCCAAATTATGGTTGTCATTGTCCATATCTGTGCGCACAATTATCACAGCATGTGTTTGTTCTTTTTGCTATCTAGAAGCTGTCAGACTCCCAGGAAGCAGGGAAAGGGATAAATAGCCAAACTGTGGCCTTTTTTACCTTTTTGATGTGAATAATGTTAAGTTCATTATTAAATGTCCGTGGCAACGTTTTGTTTCCATGTATAGTATGCATTAATATATGTACATATGTGGGGACAGAAATTTGTTTTACATGCTTGGGCACTGCTTCCTTCTTAGTAGTGCTGTGTACACCCTGTACTAAACTAGATTTTTCTGTGGTGGGTGTCACCTGGTTATTATCCATCACTAGGCAGTGCAATTAAAAATGTCACCTGTTGTGACATACCCTGCTATTTTTTGTTCTCAAGTGCAACAAGAAAGCCAAGCGGTCAGATGTTGTGGTCCTGTACGCTCGGACGCTGAAGGCACTGGACACTAGCGAGCACGAACGCATGAAGAGGTAATCCTGTAGAGAAGTGTGTGTGTTGGAAATAAAAAAACCCTCCATGAAGTTCTGCTTGGACTGACAATGCATGGAAACTCTCTGTTGTAGCTCTTTAGAGTTGGAGCATTCTCTGCGGAAGAAGGCGGAGCTTGAATCGGCGCAGTGTCGGCTTCAGGTCCAGGTTCTGACAGACGAATGTGGGAAACTCCGCAAGCAGATCCTGGTAAGAAATACATGGATGGATGGGGGTGATACCCAAATGTAGGAAGGCCTCCACATCTAGTAAACGGAGAATAGTGCAGCGCTGTTATAGGAAAGTAATATAAATACAGAAATGTTATAAATGAAAAAATTAGTGCAGGCGATAGTCTATTACCACATACGAGTGGTTAAAGTCACTGAAATCAGGTTGTAAATTCTGGGTTCTATCAGATCAAGATTCAAGAACTGTAATTCCTTCTTTCTAATAGATGGTATGAAGAAAACATAAATGACTAAATTGCGCACTCACCAGAAGTGCGTTATCAAAACGCATTTGAGATCATATTCGTCTTATCAGAGCAGGGTAATCGCTTCCAGGCGTAGTCAGGTTCCCACGCTTTGAGGACCCTCCAATGGTATCGCAGCCACAGGACACTTCTAAACTAGTTTCATGTGTATAAAGATGGCCGCCAGGATGCTGTAGCCCCTTACTCTGACGCGTTTCGTGCGAAGCACATAATCCTAGGGTGCCACATCTAGTGTTTAACTACTTGCTAACCTGTCACAGTAGTTTTACTGCACTGGGACAGCATCTACAGGCACTGTGACGTACTGGTAACGACCCTGTCTGTTTCCGGGTTTGGGGTGCATTCACCCCCACCCACCTACTCCCCTATGATTTGACACAGCGGGAATTCATCAACAGATCCCGGCCAATGATTCATGGCCGGGACCTGCTGATCCGCTGTGTCAAATGAGCTGTTGGTTAAACAACACCGCGCTCTATACAGAGGGAGAGATCTCCTTGTTTTTTTTTTTTTTTTTTTCCTGTAAATTGATCTGTAGCACAAAGCAACACACAGGAAACACATTAACACTTGCTAGGAACACAACCCCTTGATTGCCCCTAAATGTTAACCCCTTCCCAGCTGGTGTCATTACTATAGTGACAGTGTATATTTTTTAGCACTGATCACTGTATTAGTGTCACTGGTGATGTCAGTGCCCACAAAGTGTCAGATTGCCCACCGAACTATCACAATCCTGCTAAGTTGCTGATCGTAGCCATTTTTAGTATAAAAAAAAATTCCAGTATACATACCATAAACTTTCATGCAAACCAATTAATATACACTTACTGGGATTTTTTTTTTTTTACCAAAGGCATGTAGCAAGCTACATTTTTGGCCTACATTTTATGAAGAAATTTAATTTTTCAAAGATTTTTTTAATTGAATGTTTTATAGCAGAAAGTAAAAAAAAATTATATATAAATATATTTTAAAAAAAAAACCTGTGGTGATCAAATACCACCAAAAGAAAGCACTGTTTGTGGGGGAAAAAAGTTGCCATTTAAAGTAGCACAGGCTCTATTTAGACAAGGGAAACTTTGTGTTTGCTGTCAGCAGATAATAATCCCCGTTTTTGCTCTGTGTCCCTCCCGCTCTGTCTGGTGCTCATGTCACTGATAAATAAATAATTTGCGCTAGTAAATGTGTATAAATATATAAATGTATATAAAGAAATCATCAAATCATAAGTCCAAAAAATATATATATATGCCAATACCACAAAAAAAATATAAAAAAACTTTTAAGTGCAAAAAACTTTTGTGCAAAAAAAGTGTCTAAATATGAAAAATTTCACCAAAAAACCTTGATAATATAATGGCAGATCATCCATAAATATATCTTCAGAAACGGAAACTCTGCAACACACCGATCCTCATCGATCGAAATAACAGGATGAAAAACTTTGTAGTTAATCGAAAATCCACTTCTCCAATAGATAAAGGACCACCTTCAAACGTATCCATGGGGGGAAATGCCAAGCACTCGAGAGAAACAGAAAGACTTCATGGTGCAATATTATAAAAACCAATTCCTTTATTAGGTACTCATTGCACTTACTCAAGAGGTGTCCCAGCCGACACCAGCATCAACAGCATAACAGCAATCACATAAACGAGCCTGGCTACTCAGCACATGCGCAGTAGCTGGCAGCCAAAAACGTAATGGCGTCACATCAATCAAGCTCCGCCCTACGCGTTTCGTCATCGACGTCCTCATGTCACTGAACCTGAGATTTTGTTTTTTTTTTTCCCTCTGTAAGGAACTGAAGATGCTGATTGCTCAGCACGGAACCACCTCCTCCCAGCTGCCGTCCTCCTCTCGGGGGGCAGCATCCAGTTCACTGTCCTCCAGCCAAGGGCAGCACAAATACAACTTTGAGAAGGCTGTTCTCATCAACCAGACAGGGAACTGCCGTGTAATGTCCTACTGTGAGTGGTTAGGCTGCCTCGTGGTGTCACAGCCGTCTTCCCACGCTACTCTCATCCCTGGTAAGTGATCAACCCCTTAAAGGGAAACAAAAGTCTGGTTTAAAAACAGGGCTCCCCCCTCACATTTTCTCTTCATGCACTGGGCTGAGGGTTTCCAACCAAGCAAAGTAGCCAGCAATGCAAGTTTTATATAGGCTTTAAGGCTTTGTTTTGAAATACCTATAACTATGGGGCAGCAAGATTGGCATTGTTACATATGCAGCCTGTGACTCTTGCTGTGTATTGCTCTCCACCATCCCTCTGTAAAGACTTTCTGGGTCACTAACTGACTTTATCTCACTTGTTTTCTCCTTAAAGGAGATCTTTACCCTCCCCCCAAATTATTTTTTTTTTTCCCCCTGCTGTCTTCATGAAGGGTTCTGCACAGTTAGAATAATTAAACCTTCCAGCGGATCCAGCATTGTTCTACTGAGATCCTCTTCCCCGCAGCAACCGCTCAGGTCTCGCACCGCCTTCTTCTGTGTCATCGGGAGGAGCGGCACATCATTGGGTGGCTACACCTGACCCTGAAGAGCTGGCAGACTCCCAATTGTGCTACTCATTGCTTTTCTATAAATCTCTTGGCTCTTTCATTGCTCACCTGTAAATCTACCAGCGCACTCTCATTGCTCCCCTTTAAATCTCCCTGCTTTCTCTCCAGGGTGTGGTGTGAAAAAATTAAGTGCGGCCAACATGAAGAGCAGCCAATATATACCCATCCATTCAAAACAAATCCGTGGCCTGGCCTTCAATGCCCGCTCCGACGGCCTCCTCCTCTCTGCTGCTCTGGATAACACCGTGAAATTGACCAGGTGAGTGTTGCTGGGACAGCCATACTCTGCTGCTGCTCTCATTCTTTCCATTGACAGCAAAGTTAGAGATGTTCCTTTTTGCTGTTCCATGTTTCTCTGGGAGTGAAGCATTTCTGGCCCTCACATCAGCTTCTTTCTGATTGTTAGATGAAGTTGTCACATCCTGCATGATGAAGGTTTTCATGCTATTGCTCACAATTTGTGAGCCCCTTGTTATGTTTACAGTTTCTTGCATGTAAGTGGGCAGGCAGCCCTAGAAGAGTATAGCCACTCCTGTCTTTATTCCAGAGAGTTTAGTAGCTGATTTGCCTCACTGACATTTCATTTACCTTTTTTTTTAACCTTGATCTGTGTCTGAGTAGCTTTAGCACATCTGCTGCTGGAAGTGGTTGACGAAGCTGCTGTTGATAAATAAAGGGTTTTGGCTAGGCATACACTTAAACAGTTACTCCATGTTAGTAGTGGGCGGGGGAATATATTCGAAAACACAATCCCTGACTTTGTCTGTCCCTTTTGCAGCTTGCTAACTAACACCGTGGTGCAGACCTACAATGCCGGGAGACCTGTATGGAGCTGCTGCTGGTGTTCTGATGACACCAACTATGTTTATGCTGGCCTGATTAATGGATCGGTGCTGGTGTACGACCTGAGGGACACAAGCCAGTACGTGAAGGAACTGACCCCGCAGGCCTCTCGGTGAGTTCGTCAAAGTAAAACCTATATTACAGCAATAAATGTAATGCAGGAGGATGGTGAAAAGGGAGACTGTCATTACTGGAGGAGACATACAAGTGCAAGGCATCAACGGTAAAGCGGACATGTCACATCTGAAAGATGAGATTGATGCAGATTATAAAAAATTGCTGGGGCAAGAGTTTTTGGGTTAGATGGGTCATTCTTGCAGAGTGGTTGGAATGGCCTTCCCTGCAGGGGTGAGGGGTAAGAGGGGTCCTCTCTGCTGAGGTGAGAGGTTTTTGGGTTGGAGTGGGTCCTACCTGCTGTAGTGAGATATTTTTGGGTTGGAGGGGTCCTCTTTGCTGGGGTGAGAGGTTTTTAGAATGTCTATATAGATGGATCTGGAAGGATAGGGTCAAGTTTTTGTGGGATTTGAAAGCACGGTGCCATTCCATGATGACTATCATCTCCTGTAATGTTAAATAACGGCTGCTTTTCAGGTGAAGGGAGGCTGTCGAGTGATGGGTAGAAGAATTGTCTTTCAGATTAAAGAATAGGAAGTTTAGTTATGTGTAGCAAAATTTCTTCCAGCAGAGGTGTGAATCTCATGTGTCCCCATGAATTGAATCCTACACATCTCAGCCCTTGCTTTACTTCAGCCCCCCCCCCCCCTTTTTTTTTTTTTTTAGAAATTGTTTTTATTGGTTTTTAGAATAGTAATAGTGTACAAAATATAGTCTTGGGGCCTTTCCTGGCTCCAATGAACCAACACTACTACATCTATACCCTTATTCCAGTCTCAACCCAAGCAAAGCCCCCTCAGCATCGAGGGCAGTAACGTACACATAAGGATATACAATAAGCAGAAAATTTAAGGACATCAGAAAGATCTGGTATGGATTAGGGCACGTTGGACCATGAAATCAGAGGTTACAAAGACAGGTCCAGTACAACTCCCTTCCCCAAGGGGGAGGGGGAATAGGTAAGGCAGGAGACCGTTCCCTCTCCTTTACATCAGTTTGTACCCTCTTTACATCACTCTCCTCAGTCCCCTTCCCTTTACATCACTATCCCCCCCCCCCCAAATACCACAGCTCCCCCTTAACATCACAGCGAGTGATTGGTTGCTGGGACCTCCTTTTACATCCTAACAACTGATGATTAGCTTGCAGTTCTTGACCACACTTTCCACCCTTTGTCCTGCTGTGAGGGTGACTGCAGTGGTGGGGCTGGGGAGGACCTGAGAGAGGACACCCAGGCTGCTTAGTGGCAGAGCCGACACGATCCAGATAGAACTGTCACCTGGTGATGGGTCTGGATAGATCCACCATTTATTGATGCTTGATCGAAGATATTCTGAAATCCTCAAACATGATCACTGGAACCCCAAAATGCACATTTTACCAAAAAGGAAAAAGTAGACCCCTCTTCCCAACTGTGTTGTAACCATTTTCCACCAAGCAAAAAAAAAAAAAGTGGCTGGAGTTGCACCCTCTAATGAGGTGTAGTACACTTGCCTCCAGTCTGGTGATATTAATCCTCTCTGACCCCTCCTTGCACACACCTGGTTGACAGAGAGCCCCAGTTGATGTCTATGTGAGCCATGGATGAGTCTGTGTAGGGGGACACACTATTTGTCACAATCCATCAGAGGTGATTGTGGGACATTTCGCTTTCTACCCCAGTGTGTAGATAAGGGTTTGCTTGCTTCTTCTCTGATTTATGAATGTTCAGGACCATCTCTATAGTTTGAAACAAGTAATTCTTTCTTTACTCTATAAAATTATCTTTTTTTTTTTTCTCTCTCTTTAAGAATTTGACAGGAAAGTGTATTTTGCTCAGAGTCTAGTGTTGCCGGTTCTGCCGTTCCTTTAATCTCAGATCTGTCCTGCTCCCTCTAGCTGTCCTGTGGTTTCTCTCTCCTACGTGCCTCGTGCCGCCTCGGAGGTCTTCCCCTGCGGAGGAGTGCTGGCGGGGACCCTGGAAGGAGCGTGTTTTTGGGAGATGAAGGATGCCCAGTACAAGCCACACTTGCTGCCCCTAGAGCCTGGGGGCTGTACGGACATCCAGATGGAGAGCAGCACACGACACTGCCTGGTCACTTACCGGCCTGGTGAGTACATGGTTGTCTCAAACACCCAGCCAACCTTTCTCTATCGCTAAATCTGGGGCACTTTGCCAATTTCTGAACTAGCTATTTGTTTCGTGCAAAAAATTCACAACGACCTGAAGATCCCTAACGGTGAATTTCCATATGGTGTTCTTTGCCCTGAAATTGTCTTTTTTCTTTTCTTTTTCCTTTTTTTTTTTTTTTTTTTTTTTTTTTTTTTTTTTTTTTTTTTTTTTTATATGCCATCTGTGTCCCATTGAGGAGATTTACCTTCACTTCCTGTCCCACAGCCAAAACCGGAAGTTAGAGGAAATCCCTACAAGTTAAAGGAATCAGGGCCCCCCAGATCACCAGAGCTAGTATCCCCATTGGAAGATTTATCTATTCCTGTAGTGGGGTAACCAAAATTTTGCTACCCTTTTTTGTTTTTCCCCCCCCCCTTCCTTTTAGTTTACCTTTCAATGATAATAGTACATAGGACAAATAAGGAGAAGGTGAATCTCCCTAACTGGGACACAGACAGCAATACAAACCTGACAGGGGTTCTAATACCTCTCCACTATGTCCAAAACTAAAGTGCGTGCAAACCCATTCGAACTAATTATTGCATATGATATTTAAATAAAGTTTTAACTAACTGAACCTAATCATTTGCTACTCCACCACAGTTCATTTACTGCAGTGTGTGTGTGTGCCCGTAGATGCGTGAGGTGTGCCCCTCCTGTGACTGCAGTGTCTACCGGACATCCCTCGCATGATAACAATGTAAACAACCTGTCGGGAATGACTTTCCATTCATGAACAGCTTGCTTACTGTTCTGATCTGTGATTGGCCCACAGCAATCACATTGTATCATGTGATTAGCTGTAGCCAATCACAGATCACAACCATAATCCGACTGTTTATGAATGGGGAAACCCATCCATGACAACTAAAAAAAAATAAATAAATAAAATGTTCAAGTTTAAAAAAACAAAAAAAAAACAAAATGTTATAAAAAAATGTTATTTATTTTTTTAATGTCCTTTCATCAGTTAGTGTCCACGATCACTGCCACACTAGTCATATGATGATGCTGTACAGCACTGGTGATAGTATGTAGGAAAAAAAAATTATTTAATTTCATAATTTTCAAAAAAATTGTAACAAAACTACAACTTCAAATAACTTGCCATTCCTTCTATTAAATACCCCAGACTGTCTACTTTCCAAAAAGTAGTTATTTGGGGAGCATTTGTATTGTCCTGGCATTTTAGGGCCTCAAGAAATAAGATGGGCAGTCGGTATATGAGGATTGGAAGGGGATTTCAAATATAAATTAAACAAAAAAAAAAAAAAAATATATATATATATATATATATATATATATATACACCAAAGTTTGTAAGCACTCCAATTTTCACACAATATATATACACTTTTTAGATTTTTTTTTTTTTTTTTAGACAAAACGTAGCAAAATACATTTTGGCTTAAATTTAGGAAGAAATTTGTATTTTTTTTATGAATGTTTCACAGTGGGGACAATAATTATTATTCATCCCCTGCAGATTTTGTAAGTTTACCCACTTACAAAGAAATGAAGGGTCTATAATTTTTATCATAGGTTTATTTTACATGATAGAGACAGAATATCAACCAAAAATCCAGTAAAACTTAATGATACAAATGTTATAAATTGAGTTGCTGTTCAGTAAGTAAAATAAGTATTTGATCTAGGGATGCACCGAAATTAAAGCGGTCAAAACATATCGGCCAAAAAAATAGCCCTATTGGCATTTTGTTGAAAGGGAAAAATGAGCCAATACAGGTGCTGATAAGACCTGGCCCCAATGAGGGGCAGACTGTCTATTTGGCCAGGGTTTTTTTGGAGGGGCTGTGTGTAATGCAGATGGTGGGAAGAGGTAACGGAGAAAGGCAGGATAGGATGTAAGCCGTGTATACAGTGAGGGAGCAGTGTATACAGACCTGCTCCCTCACTTGCAGTCACTAAGGTGTTTATTTACTAAAGCTGGAGAGTCCAAAATCAGACTCCCTTCTGCATAGAAACCAATCAGCTTCTAACCTCAGCTTGTTCAATGAAGCTTTGTCAATGAAACCTGGAAGCTGATTGGTTTCTATGCAGAAGGGAGTCTGATTTTGGACTCTCCAGCTTTAGTAAATAAACCCCCAAATGTCTTTGCCGGTTTTTAAATCCAATTACTGGCTTTTTTTTTTTTCTTCACTATAGCTGCAAGAAGGAGAGCTGTCATTCGCCCAGCTGCTAAAGTAAATGGGCAGGGTTATCCAGTGACATTACCCAGTGACCCTGCCCCTTTGTTCACTTTAGCAGCAGGGTGAATGACCGCTCCTTCTCGGATCTATAGTGGGGGGGGGGGGGGAAAGGAAACCGGCTATTGCATTTAAAAACTGGCGATGACATTCAGCGGCCGCCGCTAAATGTCAATGCCAGTCTTTAAATGCAATTATCGGCTTTTATTTTTTCGATCTATACACTGCTCCCTCGCTGTATATACTGCTCCTGTCCTGCCCCCTTCTTGCACACACTGCCCCACCCCCTCCTCCCTACAATGATTTTATTGCTATCACATAGGGGACCAATAGTCCCTTATGTGATGGCATATAAGTGACAGTGACAATTTTGCATGCTTTGATGAATGCACTTATGTCAAATAGGCATCAATTGTCATTCTAATCACATGATGGAAATATATAAGGGGTAACATTCTTTCAGTTAACCCATTTCTGATGCTTCCCAGTGGTCCTTTCAGTGAGTCTTAATGCTGAGATATGGGACTGACTTCTCAATCATGTTGATTGCTGTGATTGGATATCACAGGGGTCACTTGATTGGGAGCCTGTTCCACAGGCTCTTGAATGTAAACCGAGATCGGGAACTGTCTGTGGCAGCTCGGTCCCTGCACTGGGAGCGTGCAGTGAGCATTCTCTTGGGCCACATGGATGTGTATATATAGCATGTGGGCTTTAGGGCACTGCTGCACATATGCATTATATGGAGGACAAGAGGTTACACTCCATGAATTGTGGGTAAACATTGAGCATCCTGTAGTGTTGACGCCAACTGGTATTTTCAGGTATTCTGTAGCTGCCTAAAGCTGGCGCTTCACCCTACAGTCTTCTTTAACTTACCAAATGTATGTAAAATTTAGACCTACCAAAACCATGCACAACATTTCGAGACCATCAGATAGGACTTTGTACTTTTTGTTGGTAGAGCTAAAGAAGGTTGTACAATCCGATTTGTAGTGTGTGAAAAGCTTTAGAATGGGAAAGTAATGATGGAGTATGATTGGAAAAATGTTTTGTGTGGTGGGGGGTTTTGATTTTTTGTTTTTTTTTTACTTCTAATTGGTAACCTGTATTGCTGTATTGACAGGTAAGACCCATAACTATATGCGCTGTGTGATGATGGAACTCGCCAGCAACCGCCTGGCGGACTCTGCAGACGAGTACAGCTGTTCCTGTTACCCGGTACAGACTTTCAATGCAGGACCCACCTGTAAACTGCTAACCAAGAACGCCATATTCCAGAGTCCAGACCGTGACAGCAGTATACTGGTGTGTGCCGGAGACGAGTCCTCCAGCTCTGCCATGGTAAGAAATGCTGTGCAGTTCTTCTCAAATTACATGCAACTTCTTAGATATAGAATACTGTGAAAGAGGCCCCTAATATCACCAAAGCCACAGTTCAGATCTGTGTTCAGTATACATAACACTAGACAAGACTGTCAGATATTGTGGAATCCGTGATAATGAGCCACATAAATATAAATTAAAAAAAAAAAAAACAAACAAAAAAAGTAAAATTGTGCGTGTGAAAATAAATCTTCTAAATCCAAAAGGTCACTAAAAAGCATCCAGTGTCAGAACTTCTGGCTACATCGTCTGGCATTACTTCCTGACATATTTTGTCATTCCGACTTTCTCATATGATCCTATGAAAAAGTCAGAATGACGAAACATGTCAGGAAGCGATGTCAGATGATGTAGCTGGAAGTTCTGAATCGGTCATCTTGGAAGTGGTTTATCCATCTGGGAGATAGTGAGCTTTATACTTTTGCTGCTGGTTGTTTTTAGCTGCGCTAACTCTGCAATTGTAAATGTAAGCAGTTCTATTAAAGTGCCTTTTAAGGAGGTCTTGCACTATTGCTTTATTCTTCTCTTTGTGGTACTATTATTGTGCGGAGCATATGAAGACAGGATCTGGGATAGCTGGTGGTCTATTCTAAGCCCTGTTTACCTGTCCTCTGGTAAGATGCACTGGATGACAGGTTTTGGATCACAGAAGACACGTTTTTCACTATTTCAGTGTATGAGTTCACAGCATCCATTTTGTTTGCAATTGAAGGGAGGATTTGCAGCATGTTTTGTACTTTGGTTTCTTTTGTCAACTTGGTAAGGTATATGGATTGACAGGAGATCTTGTGTTTTGGGTTTTTGTTTGTGCATTCACTTTTTCTTGCTGTAATAGATTTTCACGTTTGCAGTCACTTAGTGCTGGTAGCACATAGTATTTAGATTTATTTATATATTTTTTTCCCACACGGATACACGGAGGTGTTTTGTAGGCATATTAAGTTATAAGGATAATGCACTATGTTTATTTTGAGGTAATATGGGAACAAGGAAGAACTGCGTATGACTACGCATCTCTTTGGACAGTTAACTACATAAGAAAAATATTTTTTGGACACTGGATGATTTTTAGTGACCTTTTGGATTTTAGATTTATTTTCAGATCTCAGATCAAAATTAGGGTTTTTGCACGCATAATTTTACCCTTTTTTTTTTTTTTTTTCTATTTATTTTTTTTATTTATATTTATGTGGCTCATTATCACTGTTTGTACTTGCCTTTCTAGGGTGGAAGGCGTTACACTGAGTCATTGGGATTTAGATGACTGAGTGAGAAGGAGTGTTTTTTTTTTACACTTATAGATATTGTGGAATGTTGTAGGTGCAGGCTGCAGATGCGCTGCAGTTAGAGGTTGTGGATGTGTTGTAGGTGAAGGCTGCAGATGCGCTGCAGATGCGCTGCAGTTAGAGGTTGTGGATGTGTTGTAGGTGGAGGCTGCAAACATGTTTTATAGATGTAGGTGGAGGCAGCAGATGTATTGCAGGTGACTGCTAGAGATCACTGCCATTACACCTTTTTATAGACCATTGGCCCCACATTTGTGCCTCCCCAAGGAAGTACCTGTAGCTATTTCTGTAATGCACATACGGTGAAATGGCAAATACTTGCTACAACCTCTTTTAGTGGAGAACATGCTAAGGTTTGCAAGGCTTCATGAAGTGCTATTATGCAAAGCCATACTCCAGGAACACTTAATGTATGCAAGAGGAAGAGGTGCTGCTCAGGATGGACTCAAACTGCCACCTGCAGGTGCCAAAGCTAAAAAAAGCTGCACCACTGCCAAATCCTTACTTTTCTTTTTCAATAAACTTCATTCCATGCACTAAAAACAATGCCATCCAGCAGACTCTATTCCTCCATCAACACATTAACCCAGGGAGAGGCCTAAAGTGGTAGTAAAGTCTTCTCCTTGATTTCGGATCTCTATATTAATTTGGATAAGACTGTCACTCTCAATATTACTTTGGCCTCAGATTTGGTTTCCCGCCTACAGTCCCACTTCCCTTACAAATGGGCTTCCTCTTCTCTTGAATACCTAGGTATTCACTTGACCCCTACCTATGGCTCGTTGTTTCCTGCAAATTATTATCCATTGCTTCGCTCTGTGTCCTCTCTCATGCACTCTTGGCAATTTCCGCACCTGTCTTGGATAGGACAGGTTAATTCAGTGAAAATGACCATCTTGCCGAAATTGTTATACTATTTTTGCACCTTCCCAGTGCGGGTTACTCATTTCCTTCGGTTGATTCAGGCGAAGATTTATATGATTTATGTGGGCCAATAAGTGCCCCAGAGTCTCCAAAAATACGCTTTTTGTTCATAGACTCCAGGGTGGTCTTGGGGTGCCTAATGTAACAAAGTATTAGGCGAGCCAGATTGCCCCACTGTCTATGCTGCACGCTTCCTCAGACATTCCTTTCTGGGTCTTGCTGGAACTACCGAATTGTGCCCCTATTGCGACATTGACGCTTCTATGGCTTCCCTCTGCCCTACGCCCAATGGAACGGAGTCCGATTTTGCTCCATGGCTTACAAGTGTGGGACTCGGTACGTTACTCCAGTGGCCTGATGTCACCTTTCCTACCTTTGCTCCCAACTATTAACAACCCTCTCTTCCCACCAGGTTTAGATCAACCAAGGGCATTTTCTTGGTGGGTGGCCAATGGTTTTTCGCAGGTGCGACACTTTTTGACTTCTCGGTCCTTCCCCACTTGGAATTCTCTTCGGGGGTCACGGGATGTCCCTCCGGTGGAATTTTTTCGTTACCTTCAATTGCGGCATTGGCTGACCTCACTGAGGGGCACTTCCGTTTTCCCGTACCAGAAATCTGTCTTTGAACTGCTTTGCCAACAGCGTCTGGGTGCCCCTGGCCTTTATTTCCCTTCTTTATGCAGCTTTGAATAGACACTCGACATATACTTTTCATATGTCGCTCAGTGGGAGCGCGATCTGGGGGCAGTCGTGGATCTGGAGGACTGGAATAGGGCCTGGTCGCTTATAGCTAAATGTTCATTTAATACAACTACGCTGGAGGTGGCATACAAGGTATTGTTTCATTGGTACGGAGTTCCAGCTCGTTTGGCCCAGGTGAACCTTGCCTGCAGTGATCGATGCTTTCGGGGTTGTGGCCATCGTGGTGATGTACTGCATATCTGGTGGTCATGCCCGAGACTGTTTCGTTTTTGGCCTCCTTTTCACCTTGTTCCATCTCTCCATACGCCGGGATGCTTGGTACGCTTTGCTTCATTGTCCCATACCGGGCCTCTTGTCTCACCAGCAGAAGTTGGCTTCCTATTTGTTTTTGTTGGCCACTAGAACAATTGCTCAGGCCTGGAAGAGCCCGTTTGTCCCTCTTCAGGGGGGTGCGGGACCGTATGACCACTATGATGTTCAATTCAATGAACAGATGTCGAGTATGTGTAACGACTCCCAACGGAAATTCTTGAAAATATTGGAGTCATGGTTGCCGTCTGCCTTTCCCACGCTCCCCCCGGCTAGTGTGGGGTTGTGCTTTTGCTCGGTATTGGCGTTCATGGACCCCTGCTCTTGATCTTATCTTTTTCCTTTTGTACTCCTCCTTTCCTTTCCTTTTCTTTTTCTATTTGTTTTTGGTGTGGCAGTGGATAGCTGCCTTTAGGTTGAGTTACTGTCGGTGTTATACTAATGTTTTTGTCATTTATGTTCTACTGATAGCCCCTGCGTGGGCGCATCTTTTGCTCTGTTGGTGTCAGAGCACTGTTTTAATGTGCAATTGATAGCCCCTGCGTGGGCGTGTTTTGTTGCTCCTGTCTTAAACGGTTTATAAATTCATAAACGCATTGAAATACAAAGTGGTAGTAAAGTCTTGTGTGACATTTTTACCTACCGGTAATCTTATAATAAAGCTTGCCTGTAGGTAAAATGAATATCTCCTAAATATGCACTCCTTAGGAAATATTCCAGCGAGCAGCAGCCAGTGACGTCACAGACGCATGTGCTCTGAAGGCGCAGCATACCCATGCGATTTCTTTAGTGCTCTATGCTGTGCCGGGGCTCCCGTATGGGAGTGACGTCATTGCAGCTTGGCCAGTTAGACGGCCAGAGCCCGTGATCCAGTATATATACTATAGTTTGTAGATGCTTTAACTTTCACACAAACCACTTCATATACACTTATTGGGATTATTTTTTACCAAAGACATCTAGCAGAGTACATTTTGGTCTAAATTTATGAAGACTTTTTTTTTTTTTTTTTCTTATTGTATTACAAAAAATTAAAAAAAACCCAGTGGTGATCCAATGCCACCAAAAGAAAGCTCTTTGTGTGAAAATAAAATGATATAAATTTCAGTTGAGCAATTGCCAGTTAAAGAAGGGCAGTGCCCTAGTCATGGAGGGGGTAAAACCTTCTGAAGGTCAAGTGGTTAAGCCCCTTGGTGGAGGGGCAGAGTCTGGTGGATGGCATTGTTGGTAATGCATGGTTCCCAATGGACGAACGATTGAGGAAAGCAAGGATTAGGCAGTTGTGTGGCTTCTTTTCCTTTGGGTTTGAACACTTCTCTTCATACTCTTTGGGTCATAAGTCATTAGGCAGGGAAACACTGGCATCTGGCTCTAGTGCTGTGAGGGCCCCAGAATGGGCACCAGGGGGCTATGCTGTAGAATTGGATTAGGCAGACTGGGTGCTCTGTGGGCTCAGAATGACTGATGACCTGTAAGTATGATGAAGTACTTCATTTTACAAGTAGCAAGAGGAATCTTAAGAGGTGATCTATACTGGGGGTCCTGTATGTGATATGAAGCAAGTTTCAGCACTGTACAAACCCCAGATTCATAAAACTGCTAAATGACGACAAATCTCAGCGCTGTCTCTTCTCCATTCCAGCTCTGGCACTCTGGGAGCGGAAGCCTCATCCAGAAACTACAAGCTGACCAGCCAGTGTTGGACATCTGCCCCATGGAGGTCAACCAGACCAGCCTGCTGGCCACCCTGACAGAAAAGATGGTGAAGATCTACAGATGGGAATGATGAGAACAGAAGAACAGATCTGCCATGGTGCTGCCTGACCACAATGAGCCGCATTTACAATTGTGACTGAAATAAATGTTCTTTCCTCCCAGCATCCCACTGGATATTGGGGGGGTGTATAAATATGGCTGCTAAGGGCAACGAGTGGTGGTGATGGATAAGGACTTGGTCTCTTGTAATGATCTCAGAATTGGATTGTTTGTGATTGTCCTTATAGCCACCTTGCCCATTCAGGGCTCATGGCCCAGTGTTACTCCTCTCTTCAGATCTCACCCTGCTGTTCCTTCTTCTGTCACTGCTGCTGCAAAATATCCCGTTCAAATGGGTATGAGGAAGTATGTGACCACCTCCCATGACACAGTGTTTGGGCCCCCAAACAACAGGATGGGGTAAGCTCCAACACCGGGTATTTTTCCAGCAACTGCAATGGAGGCATGAGCAGCAAAAGAGTGATTTCAAAGTGAGCAGAAGGGAACATGGGGGGCTTTGCTCTGAATGAGCGAGGTGACAGGTTCTCTTTGAGGAAGGATCACCGAGGACTGAACCCTGAGCTCTTCCTGTTTAGTATGGAGACCCTTCTGTACCCCTGACAGGGTGCTGATCCTGACCACTGCATATGACGTTTCAGGTGTGTTCAGGGGGGATCTGCATCCTGTCTTCCTCCCTGCCACAGGACAGAGGATCGGAAACATAACGAGGAGCTTAACAGCTGCCCAAGAATCCTTTATTTGTTGGATGTCTATGTATAGTGTTTATTGTCATTGTATATATTCTAATTGTACATTGTAACATTCCTCTTTTGTCAATAAAGAAGTATTTGTTTTAGTGCATTGGATGCACAGTAAATTTTACAATTTTACCTGAGTAGCCCACTTTCCATCTTACATTTTTTTTTCCTTTCCTTTTTTCAATTTCTAACAATTTAAAGAACAAAAGTTCAGGAAACGGCCCAACTTGTAGAACTTTACTCTCTGGATTCTATAATTCCAGAATATTATAAAGTTCTATGGTTGTCAGAAAGATATGTAGAAGATGATAGGGTTCAAGGATAGGGATGTGGGGGGGGGGATCTGCAGTCGGGTTACTCCTTTGTTCAGGTTCAGATCTATCACGTATAGAGAAGCCCGTTGATTTCATTGTGATGCCCAACCTATTAGGAAAGAAGTCCCTGACACATTTTTGAAAGCACACCGAACTGCTTGGTGCTGAAACATCATGCGGTTTGGCGCGTGTGCGAAAATGTGCTGTAGTTGCCAATGCATGGGGGACTATTGAAGACCAAGCCTTTTTGGCACTTTGTTTACATGTAACAATCAGTATTTTTTGCTTGAAATTTTAGAGCTGTAATTCTTAAACCCTTCCTCCAATTGGGATGTACATACCCTCAAATTAGACCTGAGAGTGTGCACTTTCAGCCCATATCCATTATATAACTAGAGCTTGAATATGTTTTGGTAAATACCTGAAAAAAACTAAAATTGTGCCTGTGTCCAAATAATATATATGGACCTAACTGTATATACACACACACTATAGTGCCAAAACTATTGGGCCAGCCCTCCATATCATTGGATTCAGGTGTTCCAATCCCCTCCATGGCCACAGGTGTATAAAATCAAGTCCCTAGGCATGCAGACTGCTTCTATGAACATTTGTGAAAGAATGGGTCGCCCTCAGGAGCTCAGTGACTCCAAGCGTGGTCCCGTGATAGGTTGTCACCTGTGCAATAAGTCCATCCGTGACATTTCCTGGCTACTAAATATTTCACGCTCAACTGTTAGTGAGATTATAACAAAGTGGAAGCAACTGGGAACAACAGCAACTCAGCCACCAAGTGGTAGGCAACGTAAAATGACAGAGCGGGGTCAGCGCATGAAGAAGCGCACAGTGCGCAGAAAGTCACCAACTGCAGAGTCAAAAGCTAAAGACCTCCAAACTTGGTGTAGCCTTCAGATTAGCACAACAACGGTGCATAGAGAGCTTCATGGAATGGGTTTCCTTTGCCGAGCAGCTGCATCCAAGCCTTACATCACCAAGTGCTATGCAAAGCGTCAGATGCAGTGGTGTAAAGCACGCCGCCACTGGAGTCTAGAGCATTGGAGACGTGTTCTCTGGAGTGACCAATCACGCTTCTCTGTCTGGCAATCCAATGGACGTGTCTGGCGGCTGCCAGGAGAACGGTACTTGCCTGACTGCATTTTGCCAAGTGTAAAGTTTGGTGGAGGGGGGATTATGATGTGGGGTTGTTTTTCAGGGGTTGGGCTTGGCCCCCTACTTCCAGTGAAGGGAACTCTTAAGGTGTCAGCATACCAAGACATTTTGGACAATTTCATGTTCCCAACTTTGTGGGAAGAGTTTGGGGATGGTCCCTTCCTGTTCCAACATGACTGCACACCAGTGAAGGTCCAGCAAGGTCCATAAAGACATGGAGGAGCCAGTTTGGGGTGGAGGAACTTGACGGCCTTCCCAGAAGAGTTGAAGCTGTTATAGCTGCAAAGGGCGGGGCCAACTCAATATTGAACCCTACGGACTGAGACTGGGGGGGCCATTAAAGTTCATGTGTGTGTAAAGGCCGGCCGACCAATACTTTTGGCAAGATAGTGTGTATATGTTTGCAGTAATGGGGTGTACAGGGTGTGATAATGATGTGTGAGGTAATGGGGTGTGTGGTAATGAAATGGATAGGGAGAGGTATTGAGGTGTCCAGTGTGAGGTAATGAGATATAAAGTTTGGTGTAATGGGGTATATACAGTAAGGTAATAGGATGTCTGGTGTCAGAATATGGGGCGTACAGAGTGTGATAATGGGGTGTATAGGATGAAATAAGGGAGTATATAATGTGATGTAATTGGGTATATAGAGTAATGGGGTGTATAATGTAATGTAATAAGAGTGTCTAGAATAAGGTAATGGGATGTCTGGTGACATTATGGGGTGTATAGTGTAGTAAGGGGGTATACAGGATGAAATAATGGGGTGTATAAAGTGTGGTAACAGTGTACAGGGTGAGATAAGGGGGTGTCTTGTGTGTAATGGGGTGTTCGATAAAAGAGTGCATATGGAGAAGTAATGAGGTGTATATCAGTGTGAGGTTATGGGGTTTACAGGGTGTGGTAATAACGCGTATAGGGTGAGGTAAGGAGCTGTCTAGAGTGATGTGATGGGATGTACAGGGTGAGGTAAAGGGTGTCTGGTATGATGTGATGGGGTGTATAGTATGAGGGAAGGGGGTGTCTGGTATGATGTAATGGGGTGTATATGAGGGAAGGGGGTGTCTGGTATGATGTAATGGGGTGTATATGAGGGAAGGGGGTGTCTGGTATGATGTAATGGGGTGTATAGTATGAGGGAAGGGGGTGTCTGGTATGGTGTCTGGTATGATGTAATGGGGTGTATAGTATGAGGGAAGGGGGTGTCTGGTATGATGTATTGAGGTGTATAATATGAGGGAAGGGGGTGTCTGGTATGGTAATGATGTAATGGGGTGTATAGTATGAGGGAAGGGGGTGTCTGGTATGATGTAATGGGGTGGGAAGGGGGTTGTGTCTGGTATAGTATGAGGGAAGGGGGTGTCTGGTATGATGTGTAATGGGGTGTATAGTATGAGGGAAGGGGGTGGTGTCTCTGGTATGATGTAATGGGGTGTATAGTATGAGGGAAGGGGGTGTCTGGTATGATATAATGGGGTGTATAGTATGATGTAATGGGGTGTATATGAGGGAAGGGGTTGTCTGGTATGATATAATGGGGTGTATATGAGGGAAGGGGGTGTCTGGTATGATGTAATGGGGTGTAAAGTATGAGGTAAGGGGGTGGTGGGGTCCTGTCACACATACATATAAATGACCCCCTCCCCCATATGTGGTGCGGGTGACAACGCTGTGTCGGATTTATTGATGGGGATTCTCCTGTATTTGATGGAACCAATAACACGATTTGTGTTCTCACATGGAACCTGCAGATATTTTTGTTATTTGTGTTTCACGGGTGGAAGACATTTCAGCACAGGCACGGGAGAGGATGGAGCAGGCCAGAGGGGGCTCAGCCCTCGCCTGCAGACTTCTGGGTTTATCCTCTACTATGATGGCTCTTAGTGATAGCGGCCTGCGCGGGGAATTCCTCTCATTTCCTGTTTCATTTCTGTGACAGGAAATTTGGTGAAATCTCCTCAGGGCCACACAGATGTGACATATATATCTGACAGGTGCTTTGTTACCCCCACCCCCACGCTATACAGAACAAAAACAACTTTATTTTTCATAGACGTTCCGCCTTCTCGCATTACGCTTCAATGAATTGAGATCGGACCGAAAGCCAAGCCTGCCATACTGGATGAGGGCAGCGGATGGCAGCCGTCATGGCGTAGCCGATCGGCGTGGTGACGCGCACGCTCCAGTGTTCCCCGGTGCCGCGCCTGAGCTCCGTGACTGGCTCTCTCCAAGATGGCGGCCTGCGGACGTGTCCGGCTCCTGTGTTGCCTGCTGGCGGGCCTGACCGCTTTGCTGGGGGCCCCGGGGGCCCAAGCCGAGGATCCCCCCGCCGCTGCCGCCGCCGCCCCCGCCTCTCTCGGCCCGCAGACTGCCCGGCATCCGCCTGATCGAGGAGGAGGCCTGCCGGGAGGACATCAGCCGCCTGTGCCCTAAGAGCGCCTGGACCAACAACCTGGCCGTGCTGGAGTGTCTGCAGGATGTCCGGGAGGTGAGGAACCCCGACACCCCACTATAGACACCCTGTATACCCCATCATGGATGACCTGTATACTGCAATACATCCCATAATATCCTCTATACTGGAATACAATATATACAACATCCTGTGTGTGCCCCCCCCCCCCGTGTACAAGGTATACAAGTATACACAGTCTGACCAGGGAGGGGGATGTACAATGGAGGTGTCATCTATTGGAGGCTGTGTTCCTTTTCTTTTTTCAGTGAGTACAGAAATGGCTGACTGATTTCCCCCCCCCCCCAAAAAAAATATTTACCTTGTGAACAGAGGTACTGCCCCCCCCCCCAAAAAAAGATCCTAGACACTGCCCCTCTAACCCCCCCACATAGATTCCAAATACTGCTCCCCTCCCCCGCAAAGATCCTGCATAATGCACAGATCCCAGGTACTGCCAACCCCCTCCTGCACAGATCCCAGATATTTCCCCCTTGAGGATGCTAAACGCCACCCCCCCCCCCCCCCCCATGTGGTCGATCCTGGATAGCCCCCCCTGAAGAGATCCCGGACACTGCCCCACTCCCCCGCGGAGATCCCGGAAACTGAACCCCGCAGAAAACCCGGGTACTGCAATTCCCCCCCCCCCCCCCCCCCTTCCGTAGAGATCCCGGGTACTGCAATTCCCCCCCCCCCCCTTCAGTAGAGATCCGGGGTACTGCAATTGCCCCCCTCCGCAGAGATCCCGGGTACGGCCCTCCCCCTGAGAGATCGCAGATACTTCCACCACAGAGGGTCCCGGATTCTGTTGCCTACACATATCATCTCCCCCACAGATCTTAGTTTTTGTCCCCCCACAGAGTTCCTGTTGCCTATTCCCACAGATGTTTTTGTCCCCCACAGAGTTCCTGGATTCTGTTCTACCCCCCCGCAGCCCAGGCTGGATACTATCCTTCCCAGATTCTGTCTGTTAACCCACCTGTCCCCCTGCACAGGTCCCGGACTATGTACCACCCCAACAACTCCCCCACCATAGGTCTCAGATTCTGTCCCCCCCCCCCCCCCCCCCCCCCCCCCCGATAACTTTGTCCTCAAATCCCCCCCCCCCCCCAAAGTTCCCGGACAATGTCCCCCACAGAGATCTCAACTGTCCCAATAAAGGTTGGAGTAATGCACATGTTACTGGTGCTGAATACTCTTCTTCTGGTGAATTGGGGAGCAGTTAAAAGTGATGGTAATGGCTGATGGTTTTCACCTTCATGCATTCAGTTTCCCCCTCAGCCCGTGCCCCGCTCCCTTCTCACACCACAGCGGGGGGGTGGGGCTGAACCACGCTCTGTGTGTCCCCACAGAAGACTTGCTATGGGGGCACTTGGCAGGAGGGAGGAGCCAAGAGCACCAGTGGGGGGAGACTGTTGTGTGCAAAACCATTGACAACATGACAAGTTTATTATTACTTTTCGTGTATTTTTACCTTTTACAATAAAACTAAATGAACAGACCTCCGTAATACAACACTTGTTAAATCCCTTCTTCAGCTCTGTGTATATAAAGGAGCATGGGGGAGCTCTTGTCCATAATGGGCATGATATTGACACAGCTCCAGATGATCCACATTGGCTCACAATTGATACGATCCAAAAATATTTAGACAGTATAAAGGTGAATAAAGCACCTGGACTGGATGGCATACACCTACGGGGCCTTAAAGAATTCAGCTCTGTCATTTCAAAGCCATTGTTTCTCATTTTTAGGGACTCTTTAATGACTGGCAGAGTACCACTGGATTGGCGTAAGGCCAATGTGGAGCCAAAAATTTAAAAAGGGGTTAAAATCTTCAAGTAATTATAGATCTGTTTAACTTCTATAGTTGAGAAGATACTGGAGAGTTTAATAAAAGACCACATAGATGAGTTCTTGCTGGAGAAAAAAATATTTTAAGCAACAGACAGCATGGATTGATGAAAGACAGAATCTGTCAAACAAATCTGATTTCTTTTTTTATGAGGGGGTGAGCAAAACCTTGGACAGAGGGGTGGCAGTGGATGTGGTATACTTGGACAGAGGGGTGATTGTGGATACGGTATACTTGGACAAAGGGGGGGCGGTGGACGTGGTATACTTGGACAAGAGGGGGGGCGGTGGACGTGGTATACTTGGACAAGAGAAGGGGTATACTTGAACAGAGGGGTGGACGGGGTATACTTGGACAGAGGGGTGGACGTGGTATACTTGGACAAGAGGGGTGGCGGTGGACGTGGTATACTTGGACAAGAGGGGTGGCGGTGGACGTGGTATACTTGGACAGAGGGGTGGACATGGTATACTTGGACAAGAGGGGTGGCGGTGGACGTGGTATACTTGGACAAGAGGGGTGGCGGTGGACGTGGTATACTTGGACAAGAGGGGCGGCGGTGGACGTGGTATACTTGGACAAGAGGGGCGGCGGTGGACGTGGTATACTTGGACAAGAGGGGCGGCGGTGGACGTGGTATACTTGGACAAGAGGGGTGGCGGTGGACGTGGTATACTTGGACAAGAGGGGCGGCGGTGGACGTGGTATACTTGGACAAGAGGGGTGGCGGTGGACGTGGTATACTTGGACAAGAGGGGTGGCGGTGGACGTGGTATACTTGGACAAGAGGGGTGGCGGTGGACGGGCTGTACTTGGACAAGAGGGGCGGCGGTGGACGGGCTGTACTTGGACAAGAGGGGCGGCGGTGGACGGGCTGTACTTGGACAAGAGGGGCGGCGGTGGACGGGCTGTACTTGGACAAGAGGGGCGGCGGTGGACGGGCTGTACTTGTATTTTGAAAATGCTTCTGACACAGTTCCCCACACAGCCAGCCTAACTATGTAACTCGATTCCCAACACAGCCAATGACTGCTCTGCCTGGATATTCCCCCAACAAAGCCAATTGACTGTTCTTCCTGATTAGTCCCACAGCATTCCAATCACAACTTTTCGGATGCCCAGCTAGTTGTCAGTCCTGGGTGGACCAGTGTCTTGCTTTCCCACAGTTTGATGTGCAGCTGTTGCAGCTTTACACTCTTACACAGACTGCACAGAAAACAGCGGCCTAACTGAAAGCGTTCATCTGCAATTTAGCTTACATGTGGTGCAGGGCAGGTGGGCTTAATGCAGTGGGATAATAATAATCCCACCCACAACTCCTTACTCCAGTAGCGCAGAGAAGTACAAGAGAGCGGTGACAGGACCAGTCCCTGTGCAGATAACGATCGGCAAACATGGCTGTTTCCGGGGACAGGAAATGACAACGCTGTGACCTGGAGATAGGATATCGCTCCATGTGTCGCCATTCAGGAATGCACACAGGGATCGGGGACGGTGTTGACAATACACCCATACATTTCCAGTTTTGAGCAGAATTGGCCTTTTATTATTTTTCAGTCTATTGGCCAATCTTGTTTTTATGAAGACTGAACTTGGCTGAATAGTTGGGAATGTTGTGCTGCTCATGGTAGTTGTGCTGCTCATGGTAGTTGTGCTGCTCATGGTAGTTGTGCTGCTCATGGTAGATGTGCTGCTCATGGTAGTTGTGCTGCTCATGGTAGATGTGCTGCTCATGGTAGATGTGCTGCTCATGGTAGATGTGCTGCTCATGGTAGATGCCCAATGACCTGAGCTGGATGTTCCTGCCCTCTCAGATAAATGTGGTGGTGCCATCTGCAGTTCAGGCTGGAGGAGAGACTTCCCTCGGCTATCAATACCACTGTCAAGTGATTGTGATAGGCATTGCTGAGGATCAAACACAAATCGAGGTACCTTTGCTGCGCTAGGCCTGCTTTGCCTTCACCGTAACCACATCTCACTAGGTCAGTGTTTCTCAACTCCAGTCCTCATGGACCCCCAACAGGTCATGTTTTCAGGATTTCCATTATTTTGCACAGGTGATTTGATCAGTTTCACTGCCTTAGTAATTACCACAGCTGTTTCATCTGAGGGAAATCCTGAAAACATGACCTGTTGGGGGTCCACGAGGACTGGAGTTGAGAAACACTGCACTAGGACATGCTGCATCCAGAACAAGCCTCATCCACATTGCACCATGGAGGCTAATGGGGATCTGCTGAGCAGGGTGTGTTGTGAAAACATGGCCTGTCTACACACCAACTCTGTCATTGGTTATCTGAGACATTGGATTAGTAGTACTGTCTGGCTCTTGTATTAGGAGGAAATAGAGACATTGCCTATAGTACCCTATGAGGTGTCATTGTCACCTTCCCCCTCCGCACCCGGGGGGGCAAAGTTGGTCGGCAGCTGGAAAAGGTTTTTTTTTTTTTTGTGCACAAGAACTGGCGAGTCTGCATACCGGTCATAGCACAGTCTGATATTGTGTGCGAGGAGGAAGTCAGCTTTATGTAATCATTGTTCACTTTATAAACAGACCTATTAATGTGCAACTTCACTTTATGTATGAAAGGATTTATTATAGGAACTCTGCTCTGGAGAAATGTTTTCTGTATTTCCTCATTCTTGTGTTTACTATAGGTGGTAATGTGTTTATTATTGGCTATAGATGGATATAAAGGGCGATGACTCCCAGCAATCAGAAATCTCTCCCATCATGCTGGGAAGGTTGTGTCCTCCTGTTATGTGTATATATAGTAGTCAGGGGCGGACTGACCATTTGGAAACTCGGGCACTGCCCGGGGTCAGTAGGGGGCCCCATGACATGCCCCTGGTACCTTTTTCACAGGCTTTTGAGTTTGGGCAGGGACACAGGGGCCCCATGATCCCCTATTGCCCAGGGGCCCCATGAGTTGTCAGTCCGCCCCTGATAGTAGTATGGAGAGTTCTCTGCTTTGTATGTATCTGTGGATTAGTAATGTAGAGTTCTGTACATAGTTATGTCTGTGAAACAGAACACACTTAATGGAGAACCTTCCAGGGTACAAATTGGAGAACTTCCACGGTCTGTGTACAGGCCTGGAACAAGTATGGGGGGTTAAGGGTTTCCATTTCTCTGGCTAAATTGTTCTGGGTCTGTGATTTTGCTGTGTGTTGAAGCGAGGATGAGGATAATAACCCTGGAGTCTGCACATTTAAAGCCCAAAATAATGAAATGAAGGGGTGTGGCGGAATTGGGTTGGGGAATGGAGGGGTGTGGAGGAATTGGGTTGGGGAATGGAGGGGTGTGGGGGACTTGGGTTGGGGAATGGAGGGGTGTGGGGGAATTGGGTTGGGGAATGGAGGGGTGTGGGGGACTTGGGTTGGGGAATGGAGGGGTGTGGGGGAATTGGGTTGGGGAATGGAGGGGTGTGGAGGAATTGGGTTGGGGAATGGAGGGGTGTGGGGGACTTGGGTTGGGGAATGGAGGGGTGTGGGGGAATTGGGTTGGGGAATGATCTCTAGTGGTCTCCAAACTGCCAACCTTTGCTAGTTTTTATCCATCCCTTTATGCACCATTTCATCCACTGATGCCAACTTTGGGGTATAATTCCCCCCCCCCCCCCCTGACACCAATAAAGGGGCACAATTCCTCCCAGTGACACCAACGATGGGGCATTGTTTTTTTTTTACACTGACGTCAGGACCTTTTCTACTCCCAGTGGCCACAGTCCCCCCCCCCCCCCCCCCCCCCCCCCCCCCTTAAGTATGAAGGGCAGTAAACTGGGCCTTTGTTTTGTTTAGGAAGTTTGGAAAACCCTAAAATAGAGGAATCATTAGTCTGTGTGACCCAGGAAGGGGGTATAGAGCAGATTATAGGCTGTTATTGTAATGGGATTCACCTTTTTTTTTTATTAATATATATATATATATATTAACGTGAAGTCTGTGACTTTTATGCTCAGGCAATGGATTTTTTTAGATTTGTTTGTCTGTGGTTTTCTACTCTTTGCTAAACATAGCTGGATGTGACACTTGGGGGAGTGCTGACCTGCATTGGTTATCAGACTCTTCTGTGACCCTACCTGTGTATATCTGGCATCAGGGACTTCCATGCTATAATATCTTTTATCAATATTTATCTGCAGTAGTTGCGGTGGACCTGTACTCACACAGGGTTGTGTCCCATGGTTATCTATGCTCAGTGCTCATCTGGGCAGATTCCAATGTACTGGCCTGCGGTGTCAGACAAGACCAGCTCCTGTGGACTACATATGTACTGAAGGGAAGCTGAGTGATTACAGTTCACATCTCTTGGCCCTGCAGGCGGGAAATACTCTTGGTGGTCCTATAGATACTATATGAGCCTGCAGGGTTCTGGATCACACTGTAAATGGAGTGTCAATGGGTGACGTCTTTCATTACCAGTACACGCTTAGTAGACTTTGGGGTGGGGGAGGAGTGTTGTCTGTCCTGGAATATTTTGGCCAGTACACTGGGGTTCCTATATTCAGGGGGCTGAACAAAAAAAATTGATCTAATTTCAAATGTGTGGATGGGTGGAATCCTCCTTGCTGCACTATTGTATTCTGATAGTGGGGAGACTCCCCCAGTTGTCAGAATACACAGATCAGCACATGCAGCCATTGGCTGCATGTGCTGATTGAGCAGCTAAAATCTGACAGGGTCAATTATAGATTGACTTTTCTGTTCAGCTGATATGGCCACATATCGAAAATTTGCCGGTCCCTGCTGAACCATCAAATTTCGATCTGTGTATATAACCAGCTTTACGTTCACCTTTACAAAAAAATTGATGTACATAATTCTTCAGGGAAAAAAATGTGCATTTAATAGGGTTGTGCCGATACTTGTGCAGATGCTTCCGATACCGAAACTGATACCTTTTGCAGAGCGATTTGAGCCCATAAAAAATTAATGGCCTGACGTCGCACTCCGAATCGCATACGGTTTCCTGTACAGCTCCTGTGTGATCCCAGGCTTGTCATAGTGATTTTGAGATTGAGGTCACACAGGAGTGGTGAGGGAAACCTCCTTGCATGATGGATTCCTCCAGCTCCGATCTGACTGGACATCAGCTGCCACAGCTTGGACTCCTCCTGCCTCTCCCAGAGAGCCTCCAGCAGCTCATAACCCCCCCCCCCCAGCCTTCAGAGGTCACTGCCCTCCACTGGACCCCCTCCACATCCCCCCCCCACTCCCGGTCATGCTGTACCAGGTTCCCGATCCTCACGCTGTCAAGACAATGAAAAACCGCTTCACGGGTCCAGGGATTAGAAATCCCCGCTGCTTTCTCTCTTCTTCTTGCAGAGCTGACTGTACAGGCTTCACGGCTTCTGACTGGTCAGCACCATCCATGTGATGCTGCTGGTTAATTAGAATGCCCTAAGAATTGGTCTTGTTCAGGTGGTTTATAGTAGATGTAAACTCCATCACTGAAATTTCATTGAATCGTTAACATGAAGCCATTTCAGTCTTTTAAAAACTAACTTTATTTAAAATATCCCCGGTGAGCCTGCTATGATGGTCTGGCACTTCCTGTTGTAGGGTGACAACGCTCTGGTCCTGTCTTCCAGTTGAGCTCCTTAGTTGTTACCGAGCCACATGAGCTTTTGTTGGAGGCTACAGGTGACCGTTTCAACATACATTGCACAGGCATGGTCCACTGCTGTACCCGTCAGGAAACTCACCCTCAGAAATATGCAGCCATCACTGGGGTGTATGTAGACAGGGATTGGAAGCTGCAATAGATCATCAGAACTGAGA